AAAATTTTTCGGTCGCTACCCGGATTCGAACCCAGGACCTTTGAATGAGAGGCCAACACCTTAACCTCTAGGCCACGAGAGCCCCCGGTTATGACACGGTTACTTTTGTAGGTAACACACTCTACATTGTTACTTTTTCTAGAGTTACGATTTACTTTGTGCCGAGAGACAGCCCGGAAGTCTGCACGTTAAATGTTAATGGTATGGGTAGGTTCAGGATTGTGGTCAGAACATCATGTTGATTTCATACACTACCAGCACTGATCAAACTTCATAGTAAGAACGCTTGCTTGCATGCGTGTTGCTGTTGTTGTTGTTGTTGTTGTCGTCGTCGTTGTTGTTATTGTTGTTAATGATGATGATGATGATGATGATGATGATGATGATGATGATGATGATGATGATGATGATGATGCACTCACCTTTCTCGCTATAACCTGATGTTGTTGTTGTTGTTGATGATGATGATGATGATGATGATGATGATGATGATGATGATGATGATGTCATTCACCTCTCTAGCTATGACCTGATGATGATGATGATGATGATGATGATGATGATGATGATGATGATGATGATGATGATGATGATGATGATGATGCCACTCACTTCTCTCGCTATGACCTGCTCCTTGAAGGCCATCTCCAGCAGGCGCAGCCTATGGGACAGGTCAGAGAGCACCAGTTGCCATGGACACGAGTCGGTGTTGCGAGGAGACGGGCCCTGTGGCGTCTCGCAGTGTGACGTCACCGGGTGGTCTGTAGCGCCCCCTGAGTAGGTCACAGCGAGCCCGATCAGACCTAGGCCCACGACCAGGCAGCTTAGAGAGGAAAACAAAAACAAAAACAAAATTGTGAGGCAGCGTGGTGGAATCAGGCTCTCGTCAATTTTTGGCCATGTAGAGTTATTGGTATCAGCTTGTTCACTTGTCTTTATTTGGATGAAAAAATATCCATTTATCTTGAATACAAGTCGAGATATTTGCGAAAGAAGGAGTTGGGGGTGACCTTTTTTCAGAGATAAAATTAGTGAGAAAATGGCTGCCAAAGATTTGTTATTTCCTTAGCTTAAAAGTCCGTGGTAACTGAAAATTTACATGTTTCGTGCCTTTAATTAACGATTTTCAGAAAAATCCACACAGAAATGAGTTCTTTAATGGGCATGAACGGTGTTGAGCCAAAAAACAAAAATTTGATAAAAATTCACAAACCTGCGAAAAAATGCAACTTTCTTCATTCTGATTATTTTGACGAGAGCCTGATTCCACCACGCTGCCTCACAAATATTTCCCGAATACTGCGTTATGAAGTTTGAGAATGTTACAGACAGAAAAGAAATCAAAGGAGAAAGAACGGAAAGAAGTCAAGGTGGGCTGTTCACTAAGAGGAATAAGAACAATTACTTTATTACCAAGCGACCAATGCGGTGTCTTCTTTGAGTCAAGGCAAAGAGAAGAAGGAGAAGAAAAGGATGGATCGATAGAGCCTGAGAGACACTTCAAAGGCATAATTTGACGATCCGATCGGATCCAAAAGGCCAAACGTTCGACAATTACTTGTATCCCCCCCCCCCCCGACACCTCATGTTACAAGAGAACAGATACAATACGGTAAATTAACTTTTTAAATGTAGACGTTTTTACGCCCCCATCAACACAATTTAGATATTTTAGGAGGCGGGCTTCCGACCCAGCCTGTCAGGACTAACCGGCCTGAGAAGGATACAACATCCAAGCAGAATGACCGAGATACTCAATAGAAAATCTTCTCCACTCGGGTATCGAATTCGGATCTCCTGAGTGCGACAGCGAAGTGCTTAACCGCTACGCCACTGACATTGTTAAGGGGAAGGGAAAAAAGGACCAACTTGTGGGGCCCTCTAACCGCACGTGCACTACGTGGGAATTAATGGGAAAGACGTAGATCTAGAGCATAACCATTGTCAGGTAAGGTACCAAAAAATCCCCCCCAAAAACCCCAAAACCCAAAACCAAAAACAACGTTCCTGGGTCTTTTAAGGAAAAAGAAAAACAAACCAACAAACCAACCAACAAACAAACACCCCCTAGAAAAAACAAAACGACAAAAAAAACAACAACAACCGAAACCAAAACCGATCAAGAAACACCAGGACCATCAAATATCGGATTTCTCGACCAAGTATAAATGACAACGAACCATGTCCGTTACGTCAAGAGGAACGACATCGCGTGATTCCGATGATATAATTTATTGAGTGCCGTATAAAAATAATATTATTTTAGGCCCTATGTATCAATGAATAATATCAGATTGCTCAACCAGATTATGATAACGGAAGCCGGTCTGTTACGTCATACAGAGTCAAATCACGTGACATTTAGGCCGCCTGCAGCTTGTTTTTGTCAAACCCACAGGTCATCTCTTTCTCCTTCTCTTTCTGTTTCTGTTTCTGTTTCTCCTTCTCCTTCTCGTTCTCTTTGTCCTTCTCCTTCTCTTTCTCTTTCTCCTTCTCCTTCTCCTTCTCTTCCTCTTTGTCCTTCTCCTTCTCCTTCTCGTCCTCTTTCTCCTTCTCCTTCTCCTTCTCGTCCTCTTTGTCCTTCTCCTTCTCCTTCTCTTTCTCTTTCTCCTTCTCCTTCTCGTCCTCTTTGTCATTCTCCTTCTCCTTCTCTTTCTCTTTCTCCTTCACCTTCTCGTTCTCTTTGTCCTTCTCCTTCTCTTTCTCCTTCTCTTTCTCTTTCTCTTTCCCAGGGGCAGTTCTTTCACAAGACAAGACAGGCGGCGCCCAAGAGATTGATTGCTAACAATAATTTTCCTGTAGTTTCAAGTAACTAAACATTAATATTTATTACCAACGTTAAAAACAACACTCGGCCGATTTGGAGGTGCACTTGGAGACAATAGATATCGATTTCATGTGCTCCAGAATTTTTTTGACGAAATTCAAATTCTAAATATTGAAGGAAAAAAAAAGAGAGAAAAAATACATAAGATAGGCATAATTGTTAAAATACAAAGAATGAAACAATTTTTTCCTCCCTCCTGAATGCTCCTGACTCTTTCTGCAGCCTTTCTACTGCTACTTCTTGGCTCCTTCTTACTGCTGTCTTTCAGCCACACACCTGATCTTTTGGTAGGAAAGATCTACACCTAGCCTTCTGGGACAAGGGCGAAAAATCTCGAAGGGCCCGTGTGCAAGTTGCGCACGTTAAAGATCCCTCGGGGGTCTAAAATCGATTAGAGTAGGCTTCGGCCACCACCCGGGCAAAATTCAAAATTTCCTACAGCTAAAAAAGTTTAATGTGTCCCGCACGCTCATATGACCGTATGCTGTTGCGAGCGCCGTAAAACACTTTACAAAAAATCCCCTAACAAAAAACAACCCCCCCCCCCTCACAAAAAAGAACAACAAAAAAACCCCAATCCTTTCTGGGCTTCGTACGGACATGGAAACAGTTTGTCAATGTCATGCTCTCAACGTGGTGCCTCTCTATGGGCCTATCTCTATACGTTCTTTTACTGACCGTCTGGCCTATCTCCAAACACATTCTTCCTGACCTTGACCTACTTATAGGAAACCACAAAAGCTAAAAATAGCACAGGGAAGTTGAAATACCTGATGAGTACAGCCCTGTTTCGCATGACTGCTGGTTTGAACCTCTCCCACTGCCTCTGGAAGTTTTCTTTGTCCATGTCAGCAAACTGTGAGGGAAGTGAGAGCCACAGGGGGCTGAAGGTTTTCATCTTAACAGCAGAGTGATCCACAAACAAACAAACAAACTTACAATTAAACAAACAAACAAACAAATAACAAAACAAACTAACTACTCCCCAAACAAAAACACACACACACCAAATAAATAGCAACAACAACCAAACAAGCAAGAAAACAAATGAACAGACAGCATAATCAACGATGAGAGTCTTCGATTTGCCCTATGAATATAGGAAGGAAGAAATGAAGAAATGAATGAAGGAAGAGACATGGATGCTGGCAGATACTGCAACCGTTACGTGCAGGATTAGTAGACACTTGACACACAACACATCAACCGATAAATGTAGGAGTAGTAGACTCTAGGTACACATCAACCGTTAATATAATATATATGAACCAAACACACATTAACTGTTAGATTAGGAACCCAACAAACCATCAACGGGAACCAAACACACATTAACTGTTAAATGTAGGAACCAAACACACATTAACTGTTAAATGTAGGAGCCAAACACACATTAACTGTTAGATTAGGAACCAAACAAACTATCAACGGGAACCAAATACACATTAACAGTTAAATAGCCTAATAGGAGTCAAATACACATTAACTGTCAAATGTAGGAACCAAAGACACATTAACTGTTAAATATAGGAAGCAAACTCATATTAACCGTTAAATATAGGAGCCAAATACACATTAATTGTTAAATCTAGGAACCAAATGCTCATTAACTGTTACATATAGGAAGCAAACTTACATTAACCGTTAAATGTAGGAACCAAACACACATTAACTGTTAGATTAGGAACAAAACAAACCATCAACGGGAACCGAATAAACATTAACTGTTAAATGTAGGAACCAAATACACATTAGCTGTTAAATGTAGGAAGCAAACACACGTTAACCGTTAAATGTAGGAACTAGACACACATTAACCGTTAAATGTAGAAACTGGAACAAGACACATATGAACCGTTTAATGTAGGAACTGGCACAAGACACATATGAACCGTTAAATGTAGGAACTGGCACAAGACACATATGAACCGTTAAATGTAGGAACTGGAACAAGACACATATGAACCGTTAAATGTAGGAACTGGCACAAGACACATCAACCGTTAAGTTAAAATGTAGAAACTACACACATCAACCGTTACTAGAATATGTAGGAACCAATCACACACCAACTGTTAAATATATGAACAAAGTGCACACAGCAACAGCTGAATGTGAGAAGGATTAGGCTCAAGTGATACCAATGGAGGAACGAACGCACGCAGCATCGGGGAATTGACCGGTCCAAGGTCAATGATTCGTGGAGTCTGTCAATTTTCTAGCCAAACGGGCGAAACACAAGAGACGTTCTTGATTCTCTTTTGATCTCTCTCTCTCTCTCTCTCTCTCTCTCTCTCT